AAAAAAAAAAAAAAAAAGGAGTGTCCGGACGGGACCAGCAGTTAGCGTAATGGCTATGTCGCTGGACTCCCATGTAGTCGACTGTGGTTCGCATCCCGGACCCAGTGACTTAAAACTCATGCCTGGGCGCGCCTGCATGCGTGCCCAAGATCCCAAGAGAAGAATGGAGAAGGGACTGTGGCGTGGCCATCCTCCATGGGGGGTGATTTCTTGCTTTCTATCTCTCTGTCTCTCTCTGTCTTTCTGGCGAGCGCACGCACCCTATAGCAAAAACCTCTAAAAAAGAAAAAAGAATGTCCGGAGCTCTAAAACAGGATGTGTCCTAGCCAGCCTGCCAGAAAAGAAGAAGATCTTTTGGGAGGCAACTGACTAAGCCATTGGGGGAGATGGTCCATATGTCAGATATGCAGGTACGGCTAGGCTTGGTAGGATCAGCACATTATGCACATGCGAATGTTTTGTAGCTTTTGTTTTATTCTGTGTCGTTAGACCCTGTACTTGTTTTGTGTCCTTGGGTCATGGTTTTTAGGTCAGCGTGCCCTGACAGTCGCCCTGTGTCAGATCCTTCTGCCTCAGCCTCCCAGGTGGAACTGTGGGTGTGCGCCTCCACACCTGGCTGTTTCAGGCAGTGTCTTACTACACGGCCTAGGCCAGCTTTGCGTTCAGTCCTCCTGCCTCAGCCGCCCCTAGTCCTTGACACTACAGACTCACACTACCTTGGCCCATCTTTAGTTTGGAACAGAAATCAAACCCAGGCCTCCCATGTAGTCCCAGTCTGTCGAGTACAGTTTCTTAGCAGCTTGCACCACCATGGCTGGGTTGGAATTGGCGCTTTTTTTGGAGAGGTTTTTTGGCTATAGGGTACGTGCGCTCGCCAGAAAGACAGAGAGAGACAGAGAGACAGAAAGTGAGAAATCACCCCCCAGGGGATATGGCCATACCACAATCTCTTCTCCATTCTCCTCTTGGGATCTTGGGCACACACCGCACATGAACCCGGCGTGAGTTTAAGCCACCGGGACTCAAACCACGGTCGACTACATGGGAGTCCAGCGACATAGCCATTACGCCAATTCCTGGTCCCTGGAATTGACTTTTCTAAGTCATAACTTCTAAAATGTGGGAAGAAGGTCTCCAACGCTGAAAAGGACTTTGAATGGTGATACATGAGGGTTTCTCAATGACTTCTTGTCTAATGCTTTATGAATGAAGGAACTCGATTTGTAGTTTGGCTGGCACTTAGGGGACACCCGATGATGAAAGACCAGGTATCTGAGTTCACTTCATCCTCACCATCGTGGTGGGAACTCTTTATATAACTGTCAACACATGGGATAAAAAGACCAGTGTCGAGCCAGCCCATAGCCTAGTGGTTAAGGGAAGCTGGATCCTACATGTTGGACCATGGTTCAAATCCTAGCCTAGCAGCTTGGAAAACAAACTGGGCACACATGTATGCATGCCTAAAATCCCGACAAGATGGAGAAATAGAGGAGAAGGGACTGCAGCATGACCATGCCTATGGGGTACTTTTCTCCCTCTCCCTGGCTCGTTCTGTCTCTGGTGAGCACACACATCCTCTGGCCATTAAAAATAAAAAAGCCAGTGTTGTTCAAAGTCATAGTCAGAGTGGAACTTGTACCCTACCAGGGTGGGGCTTGGCGTGTCATTTGTCACCAGCGGCACCTGTGCACACCCATTTTCCACATGCTCTTTGCAGTGGTAGGAGTAGAACAGGTTGGAACATGGTAATATGGAGGGTCCGTGTTTGGTTTTGGCAGCTGTTAAGAGTTGGTTTTGTTGGGGCCAGCAGGTGGCATAGTGATTAAGGTGCTGGACTCCCACAAGGTCAACCATGACTCGAGTCCCAGACTTGGTGACTTGATGATCACATCAAGTGTATGTGTGTGTATGTGTGCCCCAAATTTCAGGAGAAGAATGGAAGAAAAGGGATTGTGGTATGGCCATCCTCCCTGGGGGATGTTTTCTCGCTTCCTCTCTCACAGTCTTTCTCCCTGTCTTCTTCCAGCAAACACACACATCCAATGGCAAAAACCTAAAAAAAAAAAAAAAAAAAAAAGAGTTGATTTGTCACCTGACCAAATTAGTCAGTGCAGGTTTTGTTCTACCTACGTCATCCTTGGTGTTTGGCAGCCTAATCAGAGAAGCTGCTGAACTTCCCTTTCTGCAGAAGTGGCTGAGTGGCTGAGGCTACAGAGGATCCAGGTTCTGAGCAGGGGCTTGTTCAGTAGGGGCTTGTCTTGCTCACAATGAAAGAAAATTCCACAGCTATGCCAAAGATAAACCTGAGCCCCACCACACCAGCAGCCGGCAGCGGTGCAGCAGTAATGCATTGGTCTCACATGGGCAGCTGAGGGTCCTGGGTTTGTGTCCTAGAAACTCCCTATCCATGCAGGTAGACCTGCGGTCGGTGTCACTGGAGATGAGGGTGGGTCACAGCATGAAGACCCTTCTGTGGGCAGAGGAGCAGCCCACAGCCTGGTGGATACAGGAGCTGGATCCTCCTGCATGGTTGGAGTCCTGGACCTGGTGACTTGAAAAACATGCTAGGCGCATGTGTGTGCATGCCCAAACTTCTGAAAAGAGGAAGTTATAAAGGAGAAGGGATTGCTCGTAACCATTCTCCATGGACTGTGTGTGTGTGTGTGTGTGTGTGTGTGTGTGTGTGTGTGTGTGCTTTCTCTGTGTTCCTTTCTGTCTCTGGGGAATATAAGCACTCTCTGGCAAAACAAAACAGAACAAAATAAAACCCTTTATGGGTTCCTATCTATCTCTCTCTCTCATAAAAAAATGTATTTAATTAATTAATTAATTTATTTATTTATTTATTTTGAGAGGGAGATTTTTGCTATAGGGCTCATGTGCTCTTCAGAGACAGAAAGAGGCAGAAAGTAAGAATTACCTTCCCGGGGGGATGGCCACACTGGAATCCCTTCTCTTCCAGTCTCCTCTTGGGATTTTGGGCATGCATGCACACATGCCCTGTGTGAGTTTTAAGCTGCTGGGTCCAGGACTCAAACAGTGGTTAGCTACATGGGAGTTCAGCAAGGTAACCATTATGCCATCTGCTGGTCCCACCTTTTTATTTAAAGGGTGCCCATCACTAACTTTTTTTTTAAAAA